GGCGACTCGAATGTTTGGACGAGAGCAGGGTCACAGCTCTGGGCGACTGCATGGCAATTCATTCGCTCAAATCTTGGGCGACTTGCAACCTTGGGTGATAGTATTATCGCGTTCATGAGCTTTCCTATTTGGGCCTTTATCCTGCATTGCCTGATTGATTCGTTCTTTGGGTTATTTGATTTTTGGGGATTTTTCAGTTGGGCTTCATTCCTTAGGCTATTCGATTTGAGCTGAACTTTTTGTGTGTCAACACTTCTATACAATTTAATTGGATTTGAGGAAAACTTTATTTTGGTTATTCACACACATTGGTAGATCATATGATAAGTCAAATTCTTTTAGCGATATTATTTGGGAGCTTATTGTGGATTAACTGCTCAATTTTGAATTTACAGTCTTTTGTAGTGAACTGTATAACAAAGTGAACCTCTGTTATCTTTTTGCTTGGGTGCTATAAAATTGAGTAGATAGTTTTGATCGGGCCTAGCAAAAGTGTAAATTTGGGAGACTCTTATTTAGGCTCTTAAAATTATTTAAATGATTAATTTGGATAGAATTCTCCTTATTTAGAATATAAATTGCTTCTAGGTAATAACCCCGAATTGGGAGATGAAACAAGAAAAAAAATGGAAGAGATTTGAAGCATAATTTTTGGAATAACATAACTATTGGGAAGTTGAGAACTTGATTGGAAGCTTTGGATGATTGATTTGATGATTTCATAAGTTTTCGGAATAGAATTTGATATTTGGAGAGTTCATAGACCTAACTGGATAAATAATAACATTCGGGGATCAATTTGAATGTTCAAAACTAAAAATTTGGAAGACTAAAGATGAAGAGTATGGAAGTTCAGGGACTAGTTTTAACATAATTGAAAGATGGATGACCTAAATGTCGGGAGGAATAACAAGGACCAAACATGCAATAAATAAGACGACAAAAGGGTCCGTGATCGCGAACCGTAACTCACAACCTATAGCCGATAGATTTTAGGGATGAAAGTCCATTATGGCTTGTAAGCCGGTCGCACTCGATTGTATCTATTTTACCTATTTTAACTTAAAATAAGGGGCAATTTTTGGTACTTTAACTTCTAAGACTTGTAGAAGACTATAAGTAGAGGCAACCTAGGTCAAACAAGGGAAAAGAGATCATAGAAAATCTGGCGACACGAGCATGCTTCCATTGAAGGCAAAGTCATCTAGTTTGCTTCATGTCAAAACAAGGAGAAGAAGATAAATCGTTCAAGATCCATTGAAGAGATTAAATGATTCAAATTTATTTTCTCTTTTTCTTCCGGTATTTGGAATTCATGGTGATGTATTCTTATTCAAATTTGTATTTTTGCAATTCGACTATGTTAGAGTAAACTTCTAATTGCTAGGGTTACGATGAAATGTTGTTAACTTTTTGATTAATTAATTGCTTGTTTTTAATTTAGAATATTGTTGGGTTGAATATTTGATGTTGAATTAATTGACAACTTATAATTTGGTCAATTTTAAGTCATATTTTTGAGATTCGTGATTATACCAATATGTTATTCATGTTTTGGCTCAAAAAATAAAACTCTATGTCTCATAGTAGATAGAGATATATTTTCAAGATTTGAGGATTAAAATATGCTAACAATGGTAGATTTGGAATCCTAGTGTCTTTACTAAATCGATTAATTTCCAAGATTTACTTACTTTTAATTATTTAGTTTAATTGATATTTAGAATACTCCAAAAATAAACTTAAAATCATTAATTATGTGTGTTCCAAATTAAGGCTAGTTTTAAGTAGAGTTAATAAGTAGACAATCTATTTTTGTAGGTTCGACACTTTACTCATGAATCATTCAACTACCTCTGTCCATGTAGTGCATGTAATGGCTCCACGCAGGATGCTAGAAAACATAGTAGTCATGCGGATTAACGCGTTTATCAATAGAAAGCGTTTCTATATTAATTTTCTAAGATATTGTCCACTTGTTGGATAAGTTCACAAACAATAAATTTATCAAAATGTTATCATCCCCGTGAATTTGTCTGCCATGTTATCTAGTCCATTTAGATTTAAAATGGTAAGTGATGGAGTGGTAGATGAAATAACATTTTGGTAAATATAGCCATTTTTTCCCTCCTTCATTTAAGACAAGACCTAGACCCGAAAAAGAGAGAAAATTGAGAGGAAAACTTGGAGAGAATTTTACAAGATTGAGGTTGTTCATCTTGGGTATAAATTCAAAGTTATTTTCTTTCTTGGAGATTAACTTGAGGCTTGTTCAAGTAATCCAAATACATTGTTCTTCATTTATTCCATTGAAATCATTTCTTCCTCATTTTCTTGTCCTTGAAGTGGTTTGAAATTTTTCACATTGTTAAGCTTTGTTTGATCTTGGGCTATCTTTGGGAGGTGTTTACCCAACACTATCAAACATGATCATTTTGTAACAGGCATGATCTTTTTGTGTACTTATGTAATTGCTGTTTTAATGACTAAGCATGAAGAAATATGGTAGAAAAAAGTTTTGTGTAGTTGATATTTTTACTTCATTCATAGAACTTATGTAAAGAAAAGTGAAGGTTGATAACTATGATAACTATCAATGGTATGGCTAAGGAAGACCAAAAAGCACTGAATGGATGCTTGCAAAAACGCGGCAAGCTGATGGAAAGTAAACTTCGTTGTTTTTACTCGAGTTCACTTATGTTGTGTAGAACTCCTTTTCTCTTAGTTTGAATGTGTGTGCATCCATTCAGATGCATGCAATATAGCTATTGATGGATGGGAATCTACTGTTGCACCCTCAACACCAACTCTTGGAATTGACATAATTCCTATTGTTGCTTCAACTGGCTGGGAATAATGGAAAGATTTTGTTCAAGAATTTGTTCCCTGAGCCATTTCCATTTTATGTTCTTCTCACATAATGTGTTAGGTGTAGAACGTACATAAATATTGAATGTCTAGTACCATCCATTAGCATGGTCTTTTTCTTCATTTCACTTCTTAATTACAAACCTCACAATTAACTCTAAAACTATTATTGTAATGGAAAATTTTAAGAAATTATGAAATTCAAGACTACTTCATTATCGACAAAACAAAACTCTTCAAATTCTCATGAGTAAATACTAATAATTGAAGATCAAAGGCCCACTACACCTACAAACTACACCTTCAGAAGACCAAGACTAACATAACTACAATACATAATTTTCCCTAAGACCTTCAAAAAACAGACTGCAACTAAACTACAGAATTTTGTTACATAATTTTCACTTAAAACATAAAAAATACCAATGACAATGCAAATCAACTATATCCCCAAACCCACTTGATATATGTTCATCTATCTGCTCATCCTAAGCTCTCTGTTGTATATTGTTGGACCTGCAAAGTAGCCTATTCATTATAGTCTTGCATCATGGATGAAGAGGTGGGTCAATCCAAACAAAGTAGCCGTAAGCATCTAAATATCCGTAGTATATACATCCCAAAAATTGTCTTACTGGATTATTATCTGTCCATGAAGTCTTTCTTATATTTGTCTGATCATAATGACATAAACCTTGTTCACGATTCTGCGATGTGGTAAAGAGAATTCCATGGCGAATTGAAGATATTGTTCTTCCTAAGGTTTGATTTGAATTGGGGGTTTCACTTCTGCAATTGAAATGGAGGGTACGATTGTTTTTGAAGGGAGGAATAATACGATTTTCTTAAATGACTTAGAGGTGTATTCAATTGGAACTTTTGAAGACTTTGATGGATTTTTTTTAACTGGTGACTTTTGTGAATTTGTAGATCTTTTATAGATTTGTATGGTATTAGTGGAAGTCTTTCGTAGACTTTTATGAATTTTTATTTTAAAATTTTTATAGACTTTTGTGAAATTCATAAGACTTTTGAAGACTTTCATTTGAAATAGAATTCACGTGGATTTGGTGTGAAATTCTCATATACGAGGTGTTAGTTCTCACAATTCCTCTTTTCCTTCCCCTAATTCTTCCCATATAATTAAAAAAACTGAAAAAATAAAAATTTAAGACTTTAATTAAATAAATAATAATCAAAATTATATATTTATATATTATTCAATATTATTAGTATAGTATACTTTTAAAAATAAATAAAAATCACTATATTTAAATTTAATTATAATTTTTCATATAAAATTTTATAATATAATAAAAAATAGATATTTTCACAAAAAAAAAGAATGAAAAAAACCCTACAATAATTCAATTAATTTTTTTTTTTTACAGAAAATAGAGATAAATAATAAGAGAGAGATAAAAAAGGTAAATGAAATATAATCAATAAAAAAATAAATTTTAATCATACTTGTCCACAGAATGTTAAAAGATTAAAAGTTAGTACTATAGCGATTTTTATAAAAGTTTCTAAAAGTCATTGAAATTTGAATACCCAAAAACTTATAGAAACTTTTAAAAAGTTTTAATTGAATGCACCAAAACTTTTAGAGGCTTTTAAAAAATATATAAAAGTCTCAATTGAATACACCGTGACTTTTAGAGAGTCTCCAAAAGTTTCAATTTAATACATCGTGACTTTTAGAGAGTCTCAGAAAATCTCAATTGAATACCCCTAAACTTTTTAAATCCCCAAAAATCGTTAAAAGTTTTCAATTGAATATACTCCCTTCAAATTATTAATCAATTAACTCCGTTTTTATCCTACGTGTGGTTCACTAACGTCATGTATTGCCACGTAATTTTTTCTTTTGTCACCTAAACATTTTGGTCCAGCTTTATAATTGATGGATAAACTAATAAATAATTTAGTAAGCATTGTGTAACTAAGCCCCCGTTTGCCCCATTAATTTCAATTATAATACATTTTATTTTTATTTATCATATTTTTAATCACACAATCTTTTATAAAATAATATTACACAAAAATCAAAAACTTCGCCTTCTTTCTCGACCATATATTTTTCCAAAAACATTATTTCACAAATTTTCATTTCCCCGAAATAGGGGCCAAATGGGGCTAAGTAGCGGTACGGAGGGATTTAATTAACTCAACTGGACTCGTATCTATTTGAAGTCTTCCAAGGATAACTGGCCGGCGGCCTAGAGGCAGGAGCAATTGGCCATTCCCGATGACGAGTATGGCCCTATACAACCCTGTCTCGTGTTCCACACCACTCCATTTCACCCACAATTACAAGAAAACAGCGCCACCACTTACCTTATCGCTCATCGGCCGCCCCACTGACCAAAATCTCAAATTGGGTTGCCGGAATACTAGCAGCAGAAGAAGAATTTCGGGGGTTACACGGGCAGGGCCCAGCACCAGCAGCTACATATTCGCCTTTGTCTTGCCTCTCTCTCTCTTGGCGGTCACCATCTTCACTTCTAATAGAATTGCTGACAAGCTCGACCAGAAGTTCCTCGAAGAGGTAAGCAAAATTTCACATATTCTTAATGGGCGCTGTGTGGTATGTGTAGTACATAGAGTATATTCACGGGATTTCTTTTATTTTCTGAGATGCTAGTTTGTTTAATTGTAATAATGCTGACGGATTGTTCATGAGTTTCTTTCACTCTCCTTTGTTATTAGGCTTTTTAGGAGTCTGATATTTTGTTTTCTGATTAGAAAATTTGGGTTAAGTTACACTAATGCAACTTTGAGGATATAGCTAGAATTTTTTATATTTCATTTTTGCACAACAAAGATGGTAATTTGATTTTAATTAGTATAAAAATGTGGCTTCTCTCTTTTCTTGTGAAAGTAAAATTTGTCTCTGTAATGAGGACATGGACGAGAGAACTTGTGAAAAAGAAGGGTGGCCTTATTGCATTGAAACAATGAAAAGATAATGCTTGAAGAGACAATACCGGGAGGTTGTGCTAGTAGAATAATTGATTTTTTTAATATTTACAACAATGTTATATTAATTTAACTAATGACATGTTCAATTTTAGCTCCTACAAAATAACTTGGTCCAATTCTGATATCTTTTTGCGCTTCGTTTTGTTGAGCTCTTAGTAAATTTATGTTAAAATCACATAAAGAGGAAGATTTCGAACTTGCAATAATGGCAACTGAGCTTCTAAATCGATTTTTCCAGAATGACAAGAACGACACTATGGTATAATAAGAGATATGAGTAAAACTTAAGTCAATTTGATTAAGTTGGGCTTGGGTTGAAAATTAAAAATAAGAAAAATCATAGTTTGGGGTTGGGCTAATTTAATTAGTTAGCAAAATTATTTAGAAAAAATAAAATAATTTGACTTATATAAGATAAAAAATTAGGAAGGAATATTTCTTAATTCAGTTCTTCGGTTCTTGTTTTAGAATCAAGAATCGAACCAAACCTTTCGATCCTTGATTCAGATACCCGTTGTGATATTTAACTTAAGAAGAATCACTTAGTTCGGTTTGATTCGGGAGTTTTGTCCAACCCAATCCTCTAAGAATTAGGTTAAACTCGTGCCCCTAATTTCATTCAATGTAGAAGTTGAAATCAACTAGGAGAGAAAATCTTCGTACCACCGAACAACCCCTAGGATTGCATGGTATAATCTTTAAACTAGCTAGTGATTAATTTTCCAATCTTGCAATCGCATGGTATATACCTTGCGATTGAAGTGGACTTTAGAAGTACTACTAATTGAGTTGAGAAATCAAACTGTATCAATTGTTTTATAGATCGTCTGCAACGCGTTTTGAACTATTTAAAATCAAAATATCTTAATTTTCAGTTCCGTTGGAGTCCAATAGAGTAATGTATGATAGGAATCATACTCTTTCAATTGAAGAACTATTTCAATGATTCCCATGTTTGTATTTCGAAAGGAAAGGGATCCAGATGATTGGAAATTTTTTCCAATCTCCAAGTCAAATCCTTGATGTAGAAATAGAAGAAGGTGTACCCTCTCTCCATCGAAAGAAATGAGATTATCGCGGATACAACACATTAAAAAATTAGCCAAATTTCCCCGATGTAGAGGCAATCAAAAAAGCCGCATAAGTGAATATATAACCTACAGAAAAGTGGGCTAATCCAACCAATCTTGCTTGGACAATGGAAAGAGCCACATGTTTATCTCTCCATCGAATCAAATTGGCCAAATGTGTGTAAAAACTAGTTTTTTTTTTTTTTTTTTTTTTTTTTTTTTTTTTTTTTTTAAAAATAAAAAATAATTAAGAAATACTCATGAAGAACATTCTAAAAAATCTTTATTTTGTTTTGTCCTTTATCCAAGTTTAGCAACTAAAAAAAAAAAAAGAATTTGCTCCAAGTTTAGCAACTAAAAAAAAAAAAAAGAATTTGCGGTGAATATTTACTCTTTCAATCTCTATTTCATTTGTAGGGCTCGTTCGTGACTTCTCCCAATAGATGAATTAATCTCCGATTCATTTTGCCATCCTGACTAGTGAATTCTAGAAAAACCCAAACCAAAAATATCTACTCCTTACTCAAGTTCCCAATGAAGACCAAGCAAGATTTCATTGATTCCGCCCAAAACCACTTCTTCTTTGAAGAATCAAGAGGGATCAAAAAAAGGTCTGGTCTTCCTCAGTATCCATCTAATTTATAAGGATAGTAAGAGTCCCTTGATTGAAATAGAAAATTTCAGAAGAATTAGATTGGAAAAAATTTCCAATCATCTGGATCCCTTTCCTTTCGAAATACAAACATGGGAATCATTGAAATAGTTCGCATCATTATGTTCAATAAAAGGAATAAGGGAAGCTCCAATAGAAAAATATTGGAAGGGAAACTAATTTCCACTTATACAATTTCAGAGATTCAAAGATTGTACTTTCGGTTTTAGATTAGCCAGAATAATTTTAATTGAAGTTTCGTTTATATATTTCTATTAGGAATTATGGATAGGCTAACAAAAAAAGACAGAACTGAGGGTTTGTTGGGAATTCTTACATTTGTTTGGAAGCTACTTATTTCGTATGAGTCAAGCCAAACCAATAGGTTGAAACAAACGCGTTCTGCATCATAAACTTTGTACTGCGCACATGCGCTTCATATTCGCCTGAAGTTCGCTTTTAGAAATATAGCCATCCCTATCCCCTCACGTCAATCCCACGAGCCTCTACCTATTGATATTGGAAGACCTAACGGATTCTTCCAATGTATCATTTCTAGGTCCAATGGAATTCATAGGTATAGGAAGAAGCCCTCTCAAATAGAGATTTTTTTTTTTCGAACATATTTCGATTGTTAATATGATATATAAGGACCTCTAATACAAAGAGTATTACACCCTTGTGAGATATCGATTGCTTGTTGACCTTTGTGAATTGCGTGAAAAAGAAAAAAACGTGAATGGGGATTGGATTGATGATAAAATAGAATCCTGGGTTGCGAACAGTGATTCGATCGATGATGAAGAAAGAGAATTCTTGGTTCAGTTTTCCACCTAAACGACAAAAAAAGGATTGATCAAATTCTATTGAGTTTGACTCATAGTGATCATTTATGCGTGTCTGATTCTTATGGACTAACGGGAAAAGTACAACCTGTAAATTCGGTGTGGGGCGTGGTTTTGATCCTTTTGTTCCAGGAGGAATAACTTCTCATCATATCACAGCAGGGACATTGGGCATATTAGCGGGTCTATTCCATCTTAGCGTCCGCCCGCCACGTCTATACAAAGGATTACGTATGGGAAATATTGAAACCGTACTTTCCAGTAGTATTGCGGCTATCTTTTTTGTTGCTTTTGTTGTTGCTGGACTATGTGGTATGGTTCGGCAACTACCCCCATCAAATTATTTGGGCCCACTCGTTAATGGGATCAAGGTTACTTCCAGCAAGAGATATATTGAAGAGTTAGTGCTAGGCTAACAGAAAATCAAAGTTTATCAGAAGCTTGGTCTAAAATTCCTGAAAAATTAGCTTTTTATGATTATATGGCAATAATCCGGCAAAAGGAGGGTTATTCAGGGCAGGTTCAATGAATAATGGAGATGGAATAGCGGTTGGATGGTTAGGACACCCTATCTTTAGAGTTAAAGAAGGGCGTCAACCGTTCAACTTGGTCCTTGGATCTCTCCTTTGGTCTAGCTCAAGTCCCCTCTTATTTGTATCGTGGGTCCTGCATTTATCAATCTTTACAATTCAATTTTCATTTTTTTGATAGGTAATCAAATAATTTTATTAGTTAAAAGAGAATACACGGGGGGTGTACAATCACTTTAAGCCATTAAGGAACAATATGAAATTAGGCAACACATCTACAGGATTTCTAGCCACAGCATTAAACCAAGAATACAAGGTAAAGTAAAATGTTTCTCTTATCTGCTTCTTTTATCTTTGTTTGGTCTTCGAAGCAACGGTTGTTCCTTCCTCTCCACACGCACCATACAATGCAACCCGGGATAAGGTGCCATGCTAGTTTGCTATCCTTATCCCGAAATTTTCTACGCCATGCTCGTATCACGTCCTCTATACGATGAGGCATCACCCAATCCATAGATTGTGAACTGAGTATACTGTTCCAAATTCAACGTACACCATCACAATGAATGAACAAATGATCTATCGTCTCCCCATCCTTCTTGCACATATAACACCACTCAGTTGCGTAAAAGCCTTTACAACGAAGATTATCCACCGTTGAGACCTGTCCCCTCACAACTGTCCACAATAGGAATGCCACCCGAGGAGGCAATTTACACTGCCACACCAACTTTCAGGGGAATGAATTATTCACACATCCCATGAGGGAATCAAAGTACGAGCGAACTGAAAAAATGCCATCCTGTGCTGTCCTCCACTTGATGCAATCCCTCTCTCCAACCCGAATTTGGGCCTCATGTAAAATGGTCATAAACAACGAATAATCTTTCAATTTCCAATCCTGAAGATCCCTCCCAAAAGTAATATTCCAACTATAGCTCTCATTATGAATGTCTAAGAGATCACTCACCATAGCAGTGGACACTGAGGCAATGCGATGCAAGGAAGGGAATCTCTCCTTTAGCGGTTGATCTCTGCACCAACAATCATCCCAAAATTTAATCTCATTATCATTTCCAACTACAAACTTCAGTTTGTCCAAAAAAACACTCCATCCCCGTCGGATATACCTCCATAAGCTCATCCCATAAGAACCACGATCCTCAAATGTACACCATCCCCCCTCCGTCACACCATACTTCGCCCCAATTATTTCTCTCTAGAAGCTTTCCCTCTCCACTCCAAATCGCCACAATCACTTGCCTAATAAGGCTTTATTGAACAACACAAGGCTCCTCACCCCAAGACTCCCCATCCTCATCAGCAAACAAACAACTCCCCAATTGACCAAATGGAGTCTCCTCTCCTCTCCTCTCCCAACCCTGCCCACAGAAATTGTCTCTCTAATCTCTTTGCCACTACAATCGGAAAGGGGAACAATGACAACAAGTAAGTAGGGAGATTGGAGA